TACCTAGATGTCCACTATATTGACGCAGGGAATGTGGTATGTGAGGGGCCAATACTGTCCTTTCTCCTGAAAATGCTCTCTTTTTAGAAGTGGACACCCGTCGATCCTGAGTTCTCCCAGCAATGGAGGCAGGCCTTCCCTTGGCAATGATTGTAGCTTTGGGCAACGCGAGATCCATAACCGTGTAAGAGATTTAAGGTTTTGGAGGAGGCCTCTGGGTATGGATTTCAGATTCTGAACGTCCCATATCCAAAGACTGGTTAAAGAAGAAGGAAGCACATTATTTGGAGGACATATACAAGAAATGGTGAAATAATTAAGAGAAGTGAGGGTGTGGAGGCCCCATTCTCGCATAGGCTGCTTCAGATTCTCACAACCAATTGAAAGATAAGTTAGGCTTGGCGGCAAACCCCCTTCAGGAATTGACTTGACGCCTGGACACTCACCTATATACAATATCCGAAGCGATGTGAGGTTGTACAGCTTTTTTGGCAGGGACTTGAGATTCTGACAACTAACTATTTGAAAATTTTTAATATTGGGGATGGATAAGCTCAACTCCGGCATCTCCTGGAAGGACTCTAAAGCATCACATCCGTCAATGCATAAATAAGTGAGATTGCTGAGGCCGCTAAAGGATAAGCTTTTCAAATTTACACAACCCCGAATGTCCATGTTTTCAAGTCTTAGACAACGTTGCAACATCCTCTCTGAAATTGATTCCAACCTGTGCCAATCATAAATAAATTTCAAAATACTTTAAAAGAGCAGCTACTAACTGATCTTATAACTATGGAAAATAGTTTTAAAATTTAGAGAGAGGGAAGTTCTGTTCTTTTGCAAAGCAATTTACCTACCTGGGGCAATTATTAATTTCTAATCTCTTAAGAGCAGTCGGTAATCGATCGTCACTAGGAATTAAATTTAAAGATGGAAGTCCACTAACTTCCAAATTTTCAATATTGTTGCTGTTGTCACCATCATCTTCTTGCCCCAATATTCCTTCCGGTAAAGACTCTACTTTGGTACAACCTCTTATTTCTAAGAGTTGACACGTGGCAGGTAACTTCCCTCTTGGAAAACGCTCTAGACAAGGACAATCCCTAATTCTCAACTCTTCAAGTCTTACCATCTTGTTGCTTCCATCTGCCCTCATCATCATACCGTCTGGTAAAGACTTCAAGGCCCCACAATTGCACAGGGAAAGATATTTAACATTGGGAGGCATGAGGCCTTGCTCTTCCCATGACATTGACACAAGCAGAGGGCATTCCTCAATACTCATACGTTCAAGATGAGCAAGGTTTGATGTATCTGCTCCTTCCTCCCACAAATAGGTAAGCTCCCGGCACCCTTTGATCCCTATATCCTCCAATGCTGTCAAGGAATCTGTAAAACTCTTGGGCAAGCAACCAAGTCCTAAAATATCTGAAATTTTCAACATTGTGAGCGAAGTCAAATTAACCATGCTCTCCAGAAGTAATTGGTTGCAACCTGTGATGCATAGTTTTTTAAGAGATGGAAGACTTAAAGATGAACATGTTAACTCTGGGCATCCCTCTATCACAAGATTAATGAGAGAAGAAAGGTGGCTGGGTAATTTGCCCATTAGCTTAGGACAGTTTGCAATCTCAAAGTCCTTCAAACACGAGAATTCTACTCCAGTGTCAGTCAGAAAAGCCCATTTCTCCCAATTTAACATGTTGTGAAACTTAAGCATCTGCAAAGATGTAAAAGCGCCATGCCCACCATGCCCATAAAACTCAGATTCAACAGTTTTAATTGCATTCATGTCTTCAATAATCAACTCTGTGAGTGCAGGTAATTGCCCAACTGATGGCAACAAAGTGCTGTTTCTACAACCAGACAACCTCAAATAGGACAACTTGCAAAAAGATTGATCACCAATCCAGGACGGAAATTGCTTACCACCATAGCAATTAATTGTCACCTTTTTCAAATTTTGATGAGGTCTTAAGGAGCTGAGCACTTTCGCTTCAATATCACTTCCCTCTCTTGAGTCATCAAAGTCAGAAGTCCATGCTAGCACCAACTCATCTAAAGCTCCAATCATATGTAAGTTGGATTGTCTGGCATCTAAATTGTCTAAAACATTTTGTAGGTCTAAAATAGATAGATACCCTCGAAGATGTAACAAGTTCTTCACATCACTTAATCTCAGTTCATTTGTTTTCCCTACTATGAATTTGGGCAATATCAAAAGATTTTTGAGATTAGCTATTTCTAGTGGCATAGCTTTTAAAGATGGGGTATTAGTAATATCAAGATATTGAAGGTCATTCAAGTTCCCAATTGTTGCAGGAAATTTGGAGAACTTATGACAATTCTGTAAATACAATGTCTGTAATGACAGAAGGAAACCTATGGATTCAGGTAAGGTTTCTATGGCAGTTTCAGACAAATTAAGGTATTGCAAACACTTCAAATCTCCAACTGAATCTGGAAGCTTTCTTATCTGATAACTTTGAAGAGACAATGCCCTTAAGCATGTTAACTTCACTAACCAATCATGCACCACTGTATTTGATAGATAGTTTGTGCTTGGTGATGAATCAATAGGAATGAATGTTCTCAGACCCTTCATTTTGTTCAAAACTTCAAATCTCTTAGAGATATCAAACCATTGACAATGAAATGAAAAATGACGGACCTTTTCAAAATTTACTTCTTTCTTTGCTTCCAATATATTTTCAAGATTGCAACATGTTTCTCCAGCGATGTATTGAGCTAAATCATGTATGAG